AATTAATTACCAACATTATAAGGAGCTCTGGTAGCATAGTGGTTACGAATCGGGCTGCGAACCTCAAGGCCAGCAGTTCGAAACTACCAGTGGCTCCGCGGTAGAAAGATGAGGCGTTCTGCTCCTGTAAAGATTTACAGCCTCGGAAACCCTGTTCAGGGTCGCTATGGGTCGGAACCGACTCAACGGCACTTAACAACAACAACATATGGAAATGAAAGAGACTCCAGATAAGCAAAGCACCACTAAAGAAGAACAACGTAGGAGGCCTCACACTTCTCGGTCTCAAAACCTACTGCAAAGCCTTGATCATCAATACAGATTGTTACTGTTATAATGACAGACATGGAACAGAAATGAGATCAGAGCACTAAGCTCATCTACCATTGACAGCAAATCTTTGAAAAAGGGCTGACATCAGTAAACAGAGAAGAGACTGTCTCTTTAACAAATGGCGCTGGGTATCCAATTGCAGAAAAAAGAAATGATCCACAAATCTCACCACATACAAAAACTAACTCTAGATGGATCAAAGGCCTTAACATAAAACCTAAAACAATAAAGACAATGAAGGAAAAGATAGGGAAAACCTAGGGGTCCTAATATATGGCATAAATATACTGTCAAACATAACTAAAAATGTACAAAGAGCAGAAGACAAACTAGATAACTGCAACCTCCTAAAAGATAAAAATTTATACACATCAAAAGGTTTCACCAAAAGAGAGTCTACAAACTTGGGGGAGGGGGGGGCGCGGGGAAAGATAACAACATTTCTGATAAGAGACTAATCTCTAAAATTTATACTACACGCCAATGAGAAAAAGACAATCTAATTTTAAAATGGACAGCAAATACAAACGGACACATTACTAAAGATGACATGCAGCTGGCCAACAAACACATGAAGACATGCTCATGATCAGTATCTGTTAGAGAGATGTGAAGCAAAGCAACAATCAGATGTTCTCATCTCATAGATGTCATCAATAGATGTCATCTCATCCAGCATTAGTAGTAAAAATCAGAAAAACATGGTGAGCATATGGAGAGATGAAACTCTCATGATAAAATGTAAAATGGTACAAACAGCATGACATATGGCACTTCTATAAAATGTTGCTAATAAAAGTACCATATAATCCAGCAATATACTGCTAGTTAAATAAGAACTGTGACAAGAACAGATTACATATGTTGTCACAGCATTATTCACAACATCAAAACAATACAAACAACAAAAATGCCCACCAACAATTGAATAAGTGAATCATGGTACTTACACACAATGGAATAATACATAATGTTAAAAAATAATAATGGATTTGTGAAATGTCTCATAACATGGATAAACCTAGATGACGTTGTTGTTGTTAGGTGCCATTGAGTCGGTACCGATTCATGGTTACTATATGCACAGCAGAACGAAACACTGCCTGGTCCTGGGCCAACCTCACAATTGTTGCCACGCTTGAGCCCATTGATTCTGCCACTTTGCCAATCCATCTTGCTGGGAGTCTTCCTTTTTTTTATCTGACCCTCCACCTTACCAAACATGATATCCTTCTCCAGCAACTGGTGCCTCCTGGCAATATGTCCAAAATATGAGGGACGAAGTTTAGATATCCTTGCCTCCAAGGAGCACTCTGGCTATACTTCTTCCAACACAGATCTGTTTGTTCAATATTCTCCTCCAAGACCATAACTCAAATGCATCAATTCTTCTACAGTCTTCCTTATTCACTGTCCAGCTTTCACATGCATATGAGGTTATTGAAAATACCATGTCTTGGGTCAGGTGCACCTTAGTTCTCAAGCTGACATCTTTGTTCTTCAACACTTTAAAAAGATCTTGTGCAGCAGATTTGCCCAATGCAATACGTACTTTGATTTCTTGACTGCTGCTTCCATGAGTGTTGATAGTTGATCCAAGAAGAATGAAGTCCTTGACAACTTCAATCTTTTCTCCATTGATAAGAATGTTGTTTATTGGTCCAGTGGTGAGGATTTTTGTTTTCTTTACATTGAGATGCAATCCATACCAAAGGCTGTGGTCTTTGATCTTCACCAGTATTTTAAGTATTCTTCACTTTCAGCAAGCAAGGTTGTATCATCTGCATATCACAAGTTGTTAATGAGTCTTCCTCAAATCTTGATGTCACATTTTTCTTCATATAAACCAGCTTCTCGGATTATTTTCTCAGCATACAGGTTAAATAAATTTGGTGAAAGGATACAACACTGTCACACACCTTTCTTAATTTTAAACCATTCAGTATTCCCATGTTCTGTTTATACAGCTGCCTCCTGGTCCATGTACAGATTCCTCATGAGCACAATTAAGTGTTCTGGAATACTCATACTTCGCAATGTTGTCCATAGCTTGTCATGATCCACACAATCAAAAGCCTTTGTGTAGTTAATAAAACTCAGGTAAACATCCTTCTGGCATTCTCTGCTTTCAGCATAGATCCACTGGACAACAGCAATGATATCCCTCATTCCACCTCCTCTTCTGAACACAGCTTGAACCTCTGGAAGTTCTCTGTCGATGTATGCTTGCAGCCATTTCTTTATTACCTTTAGTAAAACTTTACTCACATGGGATATCAAAGAGATTTTTCCGATGATTTCCGCATTCCATTGGAGGATGTTAGGCTGACTGAAATTAGTTAATAACAAAAGGACAACTATTATATGAAACTACTATTACAAAAAAATCAAGAGCTTTAAACATGGAAAGAAGCATTATTTAAAATCTACCAGGGCGGGGAAGGGAGTGTAAATCATGAACTTGAGAGTACACATATATTTGTATTAATACTTGTATTAATGTAGATGAAGGGAAAGGCAATACACAATTAGGGGGTGGTCAGCATAAAATGGTCAAGGCAAAATTAGACACTGGGAGGTACACAAGAGTGAAAGGCAACAAAGGTAAATATCATGATGCGTTCAATCCTGCAGTAATAGTGATAATAAAAATCTAAAAGTGGATACATACGTAGACATGCAATTTGAACAGGTGTGGGAAGGTGAATGGGATTACCCCCATGAATATATATATATATTTTCCCCCCATGGGTGTAGTCCCGTGATGTAGCGTAGTTGTTACAAAATATATAGCTCTGGTAGCATAGTGGTTACAAATAGGGCTGTGAACTGCAATATATATATATATATATATATATATACACACACACACATATATAAATTTGACAAAAATATTTCTACATATATTTTTATATGTGTAACACATCTGTGAATGCAGTGAGGATACAGGGATCAATTTTAGGAAAACATTTTAGCCATAACCAAATACCTTGAGGGAGGGAATCACTGGTTCTTGAGCTCGGGACCAAGTATCAAGATTAATTGGCATAACATGGTTCACAATTACAATATCAACATACTACTTTGGTGAATAGTGACTGGGGTCTTAAAAACTTATGAGGACCATCTAAGGTGCAACTATTGGTCTCTCCTCATCTGAAACAAAGAAGAGTGAAGAAAATAATACATTGAAATAAACAATTCATCTAAAGGAGTAATGCATAAAACAAACTTCAGCCTCCACAACCATGAGACCAGAAGAATCAGGTGGTACCCTCTACCGCAGACAACTGCTCTCTGAAAGGAATCACATTAGTCGGTCTTGGCTAATTGTTGTTATTGTTAAGTGCTGTCAAGTCAGTTCTGACTCATAACAACCCTGTATAGGTTTCCAATGAATGGCTGGTGCCTGTGAACTATCAACCTTGCAGTTAGCGGTTCAATGCTTATCCTGAAGTGTACAGCCGGTGTGAGAAAAATGTGCAACAGAAGTCAAAATCATTTCAGAAATGAACTGAACTGACAAAAGACTGGTGAAACTCTGAGACTAGGACGCTTAGACCAAGAGGCAGTTCCTCAAACCTGGAATTGAACTCCTTCCTACGATTCAACTTTAAGCCAAGCGATAGGCATAACTGTAGGGTGAACAGTAACTCCAGAGAGGTATGCACTCTCTAGAACTACCAACCAGAGGCTATCAAAAGGGCAGCATTTGCCCAGAGATAAATCTCAGAAGGTGGGAAGAATAGAATAAGAAAGGAAGTTAAAATGAAGTGCGGAACAGGGAAAAAGTGGGGAGAGAGCTATTACATTGTAGGGAATGCAAACGAAATGTGTATGTATTACTGAATGGAAAACCAATTTGCTCTGTAAGCATAATTAAGGGTAAAAAAAAAGAACTAGTCTTACTCATTTGTGCCCACATTTATTGTATGTTGAGTATGTATTCATCTCTATGTGACTAAACCAACCTGTTTGACTTGGCCTTTTTTTTAAATCTAAGAAATAGAAACAAATAAATTTTTAAACATGAATAAATCTTACAGAAACTTAGGATGGTATGATTACTTTGACTATAAAAACTCTTAAGTTCTATTAAAGTGCTTTTTCCCTGTATATATAGAAATGCATCCACTTCTCAGGATCTGCCCAAATTATTTTCTGTACTACAATTTCTGTTGTTGTTAGGTTCCAATGACTCAGTTCTGACTCATAGCTATCCTGTGTAGGGTTTCCAAGGAGGAGCTGGAGGGTTTGAACTGCCAACCTTGTGGTTCACAATTCAGTGTTGATCCTATAGCACTACACCTAGGTTCTCTTAATTTCAGTAATGCAGCAACTCATGGATGATTTTAACATAGAAAATTCACTGAACTTAATAGGGTCATCTAAGTATAATCAAGCACATTTGAGACAGAACTATTATACATTTGGCTACTTGAAAAAGTTATGGTGGTGGCTGGTGGTTAGGTGCTGTGGAGTTGTTTCTGGCTCATAGAGACCCCGAGGAACCAGTGGTCTTTCTTTTCTAATTGCTGACTGTGAGGTTACTAATCTGACTCATAACTACTATCAGAGCTCCTTGAAAAAATTTATAAGAGTGAGTAATTCTTAGCTCTGGGGACCTCTTGACCCTCACACTTCCCCCATGCTTTCTTCTCTTTAAGCAAGCCAAACTTGAAGAGCATGGTCTTTGCTATCTTGATGAGGGCTTGACTAGAACAAGGAAGGATGAGTTACAATTTGGAGGACTAAAGTATATTCTCTCAGGTTATTAAAGCTGCAGGCCCCATTTCCCTTTCAGACCTCTGTGCAGCAAGGTAGAAAGGTCGTCCAAGACTCACCAAGAGAAATATACATCATATACAACAGTATGGAAAGATTCCACCAGGAGAACAAGTATGTACTTTTTAAAAAATATAGGATTTTAAAACTATCACTGAAAACTGGTAGTCCTGCATTCTTAACCTGCAAATATCTTTGGGAACAAGATTGTACTTGTAAGAAGCCAGGCCTGCAATTGCTTGCATCATAAAAACATTCATGCAAAGCCAGAAGGGTTTACAGAATCTTGGTTGGTCCCTGTCCTCTCTACTTCATATTGTAAAATTACAATTCTGAACTTCCAAAGACTATGTTATTGCCTACCACTTTTTCAATAAAGAGATGGTTGTTTTTAGGTGCTGTTGAGGCAGTTCGAACTTACAGAGACTCTATAAGAATGATACACTGCCCGGTCCTGAGCCATCCTTACAATCTATCTTGTTGAGGGTCTTCCTCTTTTTCATTGATCCTTCACTTTACCAAGTATGATGGCCTTCTCCAGAGACTCATCTCTCCTGACAACATGTCCAAAGCACAAGAGATGAAATCTCACATCCTTATTTCTAAGGAGCATTCTGACGGTACTGCTTCCAAGACAGAGTTGGCTGTTCTCTGGCAGTCTATTGTACGTTCAGTATTCTTTGCCAAGACCATAAGTTAAATGCATTGGTTCTTCTATGGTTTTCCTTACTCACCGTCCAGCTTTTACATGAATAGGAAGTGACTGAAAATACCGTGGCTTGGGTCAGGCACATCTTAATCACTAAACTAATATCTTTGTCTTTAACACAGTAAAGAAGTGTTTCACAGCAGATTTGCCTTATGCAATATGTCTTCTGATTTCTTGTCAGCTGCTTCCACGAGGTTGATTGTGGATCTAAGTAAAATGAAGTTGTTGATGGTTTCAGTTGTTTTTCTCTGTTTATCATGATGTTGTTTATTGGTCAATTTGTGAGGATTTTCATTTTCTTTACATTGAAGTGCAACCCATACTGAAGGCTGTAGTTTTTTAACTACATCAGTAAATATTTTGAGTCCTCTTCATTTTCAGAAAGCAAGGTTGTATCATCTGCATACCAGAGGTTGCTAATGAGTTTTCCTACAATCCTGATGATGGCATATAATCTTCATATAATCCAGTTTCTCAGACTATTTGTTCAGTATACAGATTGAATAAGTCTGGTGAAAGAATAAAATCCTATTACACACCTTTCCTGACTTTAAACAATTTGAAAATTTGCCTTTTAATCTATGTACAGGTTTCTCATGAACACAATTAGGTGTTCTGGAATACACATTCTTTGCAATGGTTTCCATTGTTTGTTATGATCCACACAGTCAAAAGGCTTTGCATAGTCAATAACGTACAGATAAACATCTTTCTGGTATTTGCTACTTTTAGCCAAGATCCATCTGATGTCATCAATGCTATCCCTCATTCCACATCCTCTTCAGAATCTGACTTGAATTTCTGGCAACTCCCTGTCCATGTAGTCCTGCAACCAATTTTGCTAAAGCAAATGGAAGAAATTATGTAAAATAGCTGAACAGAAAATGTCAAAATGGTAGCTCAAAAAGACATTATAATGAAATATGCAAAGACCTGAAATTAGAAAACCAGTCAGCATTTCTCAAGCTGAAAGAACTGAAATAAAAATCAAGCTTCAAGTTGTAATACTGAAGGATTCAATGGGCTAAATATTTAAAGATTCAAAGCACCAAAAAAAGATGGAAGGAATACACAGAGTGACTGTACCAAAAAGAATTGGTCAATGCTCAACCATTTCAAGAGGTACCATATGATCAAGAACCAATAATATTGAAGGAGAAGTTCAAGTTGCATTGAAAGCACTGGTAAAAAACAATCTTCTAGGATTTGATGGAATACCCGTTGAAATATTTCAGCAAACTGATGCAGCACTGAAGGTGCTCACTCATCTTTGCCAAAAAATTTGGCAACCAATTAGGAGAAATCCGTATTTGTGCCCATTCCAAGGTACAGTGATTCAATGGGATGTGGAAATCATTGCATAATATTATTAACATGACATGCAAATCAAATTTTATTGACAATAATTCAAAGAGATTGTAATAAGACTTAAAATAGACTCTGAAACACGTCTGCAAAAAATTGCTCCGAGCTTCTCTTTAAAGTCTCCATCATTCCTGGATGCACATTTTATCAAAATGATTATTTTTTTCCCCACCAGAATCTTTCTGGAACATGGGGCTGTGCTAATGTTGGTGTTGTGAGTAGGTGCCCTGGACTCAGTGTCTACTCATAGAAACCCTATGTACATCAGAACAAAACACTGCTTGGTGTTATACCTTCTTTAACTATCTTTCCTATGTTTGAATCTATTGTTGCAGTCACTGTATCAGTCCATTTCACTGAGGGTATTCCTCTTTTTCACTGACCCTCTACTTTATCAAGCATAATGCCCTCACGGACTGGGCTCTTTAAATAATTTGTTCAAAGTATGTGAGGTGAAATCTCACCATTGTTGCTTCTAAGGAGCGTACTTTTTCCAAAACAGATTTGGTTGTTCTTCTGTCAGTCCATAGTATGTTCAATATTCTGCAGCAACATCATAATTCTAATGCATCAATTCTTCCCCAGTCTTTCTTATGCATTACCCAGCTTTCACAAGCATATGAAACAATTAAAAATTGCCATGGCTTAGGTAAGGCGCACCTTAGTCCTCAAAGTTACATCTTTGTTTTTGAACATTTTGAAGAGGTCTTTTGCAGCAGATTTGTATGTATTTTGGTTTCTTGACATCAGCTTCCATAGGCATTGATTGTGCAGCCAAGTAAAATGTAATCCTTGACAATTTCAATCTTTTCTCTGTTTAACATTTTTGGTACAGATTTGAGCATTTTTTGTTTTCTTTACATTGAGTTCTAATCCATACTAAAGGTTGTATTCTTTGATCTTCAGCAAGCAAGGTTGTGTTATCTGCATGTCAAAGTTTATTAATGAGACTTCCTCCAATTTGGATGCTGTGTTCTTCATATAGTCTCAGATTATATGCTCAGCATACAGATTGAATAAGTATGGTGAAAGGATATAACCCTGGCATACGCCTTTTCTGACTTTAAACTAAGGAGTACCCCCTTGACTGTCTCTCTATGTACAGGCCTTGCATAAGCATGATGAAGTATCCTGGAATTCTCATTCTTCACAAAGTTCGCTATAGTTTGTTACGACCCACGTAGTTGAATGCCTATGCATAGTCATAGCCATTTATCTGGTACTCTTTCAACATTTATATCTAAGAGTTAATTCTCTCTACTTGTAACTTAACAGATGGTTGAGAGCTTCATTAGAAATAGAGACAAAGATAAAAAATAAAATAAAAATCAAACCCCCATTCACACATATTAATTGCAATTTACTAAATTTTGACAATGGAGTGACAATATCAAAGTGATGCAGAAGCAGCACAAATTTGCTTTTCTGTTTATTTAGTTGCTGCATCATCCACTAGAGAATGAAGTAGATGGATTTTGCATATTTTTCAATCAAAGCTCCCCAGCCCCAGCCCCAGCCCCAGCCCCACCCCCAGTCACTTGCTGTAGTTCAGGGAAACCTGTCTCAGCCCCATGCAGGTACAAAGGAAAAGGAATCTCAACAGTGAGTCATCATGGGTAAACCAAGGCCTTGTCTTGTCTGCATTGAAAACATTCTCATGGAAGTACCCTTCCCAAAGCAGTGGGCAGTGACTGCTATTCCATTTTGTTATTCTCTGTTGTGTGTGTGTGTGTGTATTCCATGCTTCCTCCCTGATCCATCAAGAAAATTTTCCTTCCCCTAAGAAACACTCATATTTATTTTGACCTTCCTCATGCCTGCTTAGCTGTACATTGCCTTATTATATGGCCCCGGACAGACTCACAGTAAGTTCACAGGAGTGGAAGCTTGTCAGGCAAGAACATGTGAATAAATAAATGGGTTGAAATAGAGGGCAGCATCCCCCTAACCTGAAATGCACCTCCATCTCCTGCCACATTTCCAAAATCGTTATGGATTGAGGATACTGATCAAGGGCCATAATATCAAAGTGCCAGAGAAAACATAATTTTTGTTATTGTTAAGTGCTGTAGAGTCAGTTCCGATCTATAGGGGCTGTATAGGGTTTCCGAGGAGCAGCTGGCGAGCTTGACTCTACAGTCAAATGACTCTACAGTCCAGCACATTCACCCACAGCACCATACCAGGCTGGAAAATTAAATGAATTTAAAGCAGAACTGAGTAAGTCGTATCTTTTCTGTAAATCTGTTGCATTGAGTCACTGCTGTGGTTTAGTCACACATTTATTATCAAAGATGGGGTAATATTGAGATGGAATGGCAATGTTATTACTTACATTGTTGTTGTTGTTTGTTGTTAGGGCCATGGAGTTTGTTCTGACTCATAGGGTTTCCAAGGAGCAGCTGGTGAGCTTGAATTGTCGACCTTGCAGTTCAAATGACTTTGCAGTCTGGCTCTTGCTGTCCAGTCAGTTCCAACCCATAGTGACCCTGTATAGGGTTTCCAAGGAGTAGCTGGTGAGCTTGAGCCACCAACCTTGCAATACAAACAGCTTTGCAGTCTGGAGCATTAACCCACAGCACCACACAAGGACTCATTAGGAGAGTGAAATCTGGGGTTGTTCTAGGTTAACCAAGCTATCTGAGCACCCTAGCTCTTCCTTGTTTACTCCACAAATATGAGATTTCCTTATCTCATGTAAAATGGAAATAAAACTGCTGTCTTTTTCTCTACCTCCCAGAGTTTTGTAAGGATTGAGGGAAATAATTAATACCTGTTGTACCATCTTAGTTATCTAGTGCTGCTCTAACCAAAATACCAGAAGTAGATGGCTGTAACAAACAGAAACTCATTCTCCACGGTTTAGGAAACTACAGTATGAATTCAGAGCAGCAGTCCTGGTGAAAAGTCCTGGTCTCC